CTTTGGAAACGAGTATACAAGAATCGAAATTCTCAAAGGTTCTCTGCCAGCTCGTCTTTAATCTGTCTCCTTATGAAAATTCAGGCGTTCAAATTGTTCATGAAACCTCTGAAATTTCAAAAAATCGCGGAGGGGCTCGAGATTTCTAAATAAAGGCTGTTAGCTTGCCGATCTCAACGTATCTTTTAGTGAAAACACCAAAGATCGAGAAATCAAGCGTCAAAAGTAATGTTTTGAACTTTAACGAGTATCAAACTAACAAAAAACAATTATTTTTGCACATAATTTCCTCAAACGGACGCTGCTAGCTCGTTGACCTTTTGGCCTTTTAAAGAAAACATCAGGAAACGGAAATATAGTTTTCAAAAGAGGTTTGCGAATTCCTCTAGGTATCGAATGATCAAATCACCTCATTTTTCTACGTAAATTCCCACACAAACTTTGCTAGTTTGCCTACTGAAGATTGGCTCAGAAAGGTACCATCCAGAGAGCATACAGCAACTGGAGTACGGTGCAAAGAAAAAAAAAATCGAATTGTAGCGACTTACGATTTTAACACTGTGTTGGTGATACCGTTACAGTTAACTAAGTGCGAAATCTAAAAATTAACGGTGCCGACAACGATAATGTGGAAACCAGCCGCTTCGGGGATGGGGAGTGGGCGTTTGCGGGGTAGTATGTTCTCTGATGTTGGCAGTAGTAGTCAGTCGTAAAATATAATCGGCTTTCGTTATTTTTGGGGGTTCCGGCGAGCGGTTCAAGGGCCCCGTATTGGGAAATGGCGGCCGATCCCGCTGATCAATCGAGTATGGAAAGTTTTCGAAACGCTTAGCAATTTGTTTACTTTATTTATATTGCCAGTTGCGTCCTTCAGTAAAATTCTTCCGCCAGTAAAATTATACGGCCACGTAACTACCGTAACCCTGACCCCGAAATCGGCTGGTTGTTGTATACAGTAAAAAGTGCGCTTTTTCGAGGCTTACATTATAGGAAGGGCCACCGTATCGTTGACGTGGGTTATCATTCCATTTTTGACCATTCCGAGGTTTATCGTTAGGTCTTCGGGGTGGAGGATGCCCTTTCGGGTAATCCTAGATAGTAGGAGATGCTAGTTTTTGAACAGAGCGAGATAGAGATCGAATGAGAGAGAGTGAAGCGAGAGAGAGTGAGAGTGAGAGAGTGAGCGAGAGAAAGTGAGTGAGAGAGGCAGGGAAAGGAGGAGAAAGTGAGGAGAGAGCGAGAGAGAGGTGAGAGAGAGAGAGAGAGAGAGAGAGAGAGAGAGAGAGAAAGCGAGATCCAAGCCCAACCAGCTGTCTCGATACAAAAGCCAAACCATAGAGATGAAGATTCGAGATGTCCAGTGGTGTATACAAGAGGGAATTGAAAGAAGTGTATGGCACGTACCTTGAGAGTCTGCAAATAATCGGGCAACAGCGGGTCCTGGTTTGATGGGCGAGGGGATGAAGGGGGTTGCCGTGGCGGACGATGATCCTTTTGATAGTATCGATCATCTGGAGGGGACGAGGAGACCGAGGCCCCGAGGAGGAGCAACCCTCCGAGGACCCGCATCCTGAAGCAAAGGGTTTTAAGGGGACAATGACACAATGGAAAACAGGAAAACGTGACAAAAAGACCGTGGCCATGAAAATGCAGTTTTAAGGGGACAAGAACATCTTTTGAAACTTGGAAAGCATTATCATGCCTCTTGATAAAATCTTTTAAAGGTGCAGTGACAGCGCAAAAAACTTGACGGCACGGTCACTTTGGCTAACAGTTTTAAGGGGGCCGGCCACATCGCAACTAATCATAAAAAATGAGCTTACTAGCGTAAAAGAAAAGTTTTGACAAGAAGTGCAGGATCCGGATCACAAGTTTGGAATATGAGGATCAGTAAAAAGCTAACAAGCAATCTGGCTTTTCCAAAAAGTAACGAAACATGGCCGGTATTTTTTACTGTGACGCCAGCGCCCTCTTCACATCCTACACTCTCCCTCGATTGAGGTGAGCAAAGCGCTAGGGTTCGCCACCACTTTTTAACTGTCCGTAGAAAAATACATACTCAACCCGATGGCAGAGGTCCAGATCACAAAAACAACATCCTGAAGCCGATCAGAAGAGGGTCTCTCCTGGCCTTCAACCTACGCTTTGGTGGGGCGTTCTAGTCAAGCACCATATTCAATGAGGAAATCATAACGAAGCCGCAATAGAGGCTGGTTCTAAGGGAAGCTAATCCAAAGACTGTCCTTTCAGCGACGAAGAGGTAAATGCGAATTAGGACCGGACCGTGGCAAGCTTTCCGACTGTCCCGCCCCGTAAACCTTAATTTTAGGGTGCAGCCAGTTCTTGCGGATGTGCGAGAGCTAGGAAGACCGAAAGTGGCTCCAAAGGAATCTGGAAGGCAGGCTTTATAATCGGATTTGGACACTTGGCGAGTGGCCAACACTACGAATGCCAATAAGGATTTAGCAAGGATGCTGAAGCGCCAATGTATCAAAATTAGAATTATTAGCATCTCGACGAAAGAAAAGTTTTTTAAGGGCGTAGCAAGTGTAAAAATCGGCATCTGACTTTGGCTAGGTGCAGACAACTTCACGTCGCGCCAAATGACGAGTATAAATCACAAAAATATGATCTGGCAGAACCGGCCGTGAAAGCGATTTGACCTCGTCTTGGACGTTTTGAAGCCGAGACCTACCGGTCAAAAAGGGGTATCATAAAAGCTTAAGCGTCTTATACTTTATGAAAACGGTGGTAAAAGACGTAAAAACCCAAAAATCCCAGATTTTAGGGTAGTAGGAGTCAAGCCAGATCAAATCCAGAAAAAGCGAAGGTGGCGAAATCCGGTGATGATCATCCGGTGGGTAATCATCTGATGGTGATGAAGGGAAATGGGCGAGATTCGAAAAAGGGGGAAGAAGATGATGGAAAAGAAAAGGAAAGTCTTTTACCCGGATAGAGGGTCTATTTGTTATGAAGGAAACTCAGTGCGAGGGCCTCTTCCACCTCTTCCACCTCTTCTATTTACCTCGAAATGACAGAAAGAGAGAGAGAGAGAGAGAGAGAGAGGGAGAGAGAGAGAGAGAAAAAGAGTGAGAAGGAGGGAGTGAGAAAGAGAGACAGAAACTGAGCGACAGAAAAAAAGAATTGGTCAGTGTTGGCCAAAAACTCGAATCGAGCCCCGCCGATTCAAAGTGGGGGTGGTGGCCGTAGTTTTTGGCCCTAGTTTTGGACGGTTTGGACTTGGGCTGACCCTATCGAGTGATTGGATATTTGAGGAATGAGTGAAAAAGTCATCTGAGGCGTGAAAAACTGGCTGAACGAAACTCGAGCTACAAGATAAACTTTTGGCAGGTTGCCAAAAGTCCTCTTTATCTAAACATCTAGCAACGCTATATGATTCTGGCAGTTCGCAAGCCGTCCAGTTAGCGGAACTGAGCAAGAGAAGATAGAGCAGGAAGGAAAGAAGAGAAGAAAGAAAAAGAAGATAAGAAAACTGGGTTAACGGATAGCGGGGAGCGAGTAACGAATAGTTCTATTGAATACTCAATTCGAGGGGCTTTAGAGTAAAAAATAAATCGCATAAGCAACATACCTAAGAAATCTAATACGAAAGCTGTATTAAAAATACCGAAATACACTGAAACAACTCAACCGTGAAGCTATTCCGTAACGTTCCCCCCTGGATTTGTTGCAACACGATGACCTACTGGGGACGGATGTGTCATTTGGAGCGCCTCGTAATTTAAACGTCCGTGTTAGCATGTAGGTGAGAGAGGGAGCGCGGCAGAGAGAAGGAGAGAGAGGGAGAGAGGGAGAGAAAGACAGAGAGAGAAACCTGGATCTGGGTCAAAGTCAGGCTCGCCCTCTAGTGATGGTAGTCAAGCCAGTCAGTTCCGAGTGAATCCTCTTTCCATCGTTTCACTGTCCCGCTCGTTTCGTTTATTCCACGCGAATCCAGTCAACGGTCAAAGCGAGAGGCTGGGGGATCAGCCGGGTAGCGACAACACCAATCGGGGTGTTGCCCTAGTTTTTTCGGACCAACCGGAAGTTAGGGTTTCAGAATTTACACAGGCGAGTTGGAAAGTATCTAAAGAGCTCAAAACCAGAAAAAACCCAAAAACTAGAATTTTTGAGCTTCCAGTAATGTGTAGATGATACTAACTCCATGTTAGTGACGTTTTCATTAAAATTTTGAGCCAAATTGTGCCATTCCAGGAAACACGCAAATTGTACTCAACATTTTCCTTTTTGACGTTTCCCGACGTTTTTCTCCGAAATTGGAATGTGCAAACAGAATGTTGCCCTTTAGAGGTCACCCAGCGACGGCTTGAATTTCCCTCCCCCACATCATAAAGCAGCAAAAAAATTTGACATTACCTCGACTTAAAAAATAAATAGTTTTCAGGAGCCCTTTTTGGATTCATAGCTTGAATTTGTGATAAAGATTTTGTACATCATACTCAGCCACCAGGGGCGTAGCCAGAAAAAAATTTCGAGGGGGGGGGTGCCAAAGAAATTTTCCAAAAAACTCAACACATTAACGAGAAAACACCGCCACAGGCAAAAATTTTTGAAAGAAAGGTTACAATAGCTCTATAAATAGCCGTAAAAATGTGAAAAAGTAGCGCCGCAGGCAGCAAAATTTTTGAGAAAATAAAAATCATAAGGGTCCCCCCTTATGAAATTTTCGGGCCCCGGCCGATTTCGGGGGGGGGGGGCGGGCCCCCGGGGCCGGTATTACGCTACGTCCCTGCTTTCAATGCGCCGAACTTTTTATCAAATCTTTATCGAGATCAAAAAACTTTTGACAGGACTGGCAAATCGGGAAAAATGTTGCAAACTGCGTAAGGAGATCACGGGACTAGGGTAAAACACAAGAAACCGACTAAGACAAAAGGAAGCGAGCGAAAGAGAGAGAGAGAGAGAGAGACAGAGAGAGAGAGCGAAAGAGTGAGAGAGTGAGGGTGAGGGATAGTGAGCGTGAAGACGCATCGCCTCTACTCCTCCTCCTGGTCGTGGTGCGCCTCGAATTCGCCCTCGTCGTCGGCGGTAGCGTCCTAGAATTCGGGAGTCTTACTGTGAAAACAGGAAATAAGGTAATGCCGTAACCTTAAAACTACATTAATGCTTACCTGATACTGTTGATACTCGGAGACGAGATCGTTCATGTTCGACTCGGCCTCGGTGAACTCCATCTCGTCCATGCCCTCGCCGGTATACCAGTGAAGGAAGGCCTTTCGCCGGAACATTGCTGAAAAGTTTGATTTAACAGAATTTAGCTTGGATCTGGCTGTTTTTGTTGTTTTAAAGGGCAAGTCAACACAAATACATAGACGAAAAAATCGATGGTCTTGCCTTACCGACCATCTCAAATGGACGGAAAAATCTGCTAAATTTTTAGGCCAGCACTTAGAGATTTGTCCGCTTTAGCGAACCTTTAGCTCCCAAAACCAACCAGTGAATTGCTCGGAGATGCGCTTGAACAGCTCCTGAATAGCCGTCGAATTTCCAACGAAAGTCGCAGCCATCTTGACACCACGTGGTGGAATATCACAGACCTAAGCAAATCCATTACGTCATATAATTCTCCTTACGGCAGTTTTGACGTTATTCGGGATCCATTCCACAAAGTACGAGCTGTTCTTGTTCTGGACGTTCAGCATTTGCTCGTCTACTTCCTAAAACGAGACTGTTTTGACGGTATTTTAGGTTTTAAGGCGAATCGTGAGAAGCTAGTAATCTCTCTCTCTCTCTTTGTCTCTTTCTCTATGTCTCTCTCTTGCTCTCTCTCTCTCTCTCTCTCTCTCTCTCTCTCCCTCTCTGGAAAGCGTGAGAATCGTCCCGAAAAAGTCACTGGAACGAGACAACTGCACAAAAGCTTACCTTCATGCTCATCCGTCCACGGAACATGGCAGCGACGGTAAGGTATCTTCCATGCCGAGGGTCGCATGCTGCCATCATGTTTTTCGCATCGAACATTTGCTGCGTCAACTCGGGCACGGTCAGGGCTCTGAATAAGGTATGATTATAGCTTTTAGTAGACTATCAAAAGCTTTTCAAAAGGACCGACAACTCGAATCAGTTCACTTTCCTGGCTTTTAAAAGGACCAGAACACGTCAAATTGACCCCCTAATTCCACTAGGTCTAGACAACTTCACCGCATATTCGACTGGCGCGAAAAGACGCCGTTTTTCTCTGGATCCCAGTTTATTAAAAACACGAGCTTAAACTTGTTGCTGTCGATGCCCAACCCGTTATGCTTCAATTTCCTGTCTATGAGCTTCAAGTGAGCTTGAACTTATAGATGTAAATGCCTAGCCAATTCGGCTTCAATTTACAAGCTCAGCTTAGAATTTGACACTCCCTGGCCTCCGAGAAGTTCAAGCGGTTCAAGGCAAATTCCTTCGTGTCCTTTACTCACCGATATTGTTGTGACCCACGAGAAGTCAACGGCGCAAATCCGGGCATGAAGAAGTGGAGACGCGGGAATGGCACCATGTTCACCGCCAGCTTTCGGAGATCGGCGTTTAGCTGAAATTGCAGAAATTCATAGTTTTTGCGGCACCCATATAAATTAGAGATTGTTTTGCAATCTTTAAAAGCAGAGATTTTTACAAAATGTTGTCGAACCAAAGGCCCTACAACACATACCTGACCAGGGAACCGCAAACAAGTCGTCACCCCGCTCATTGTCATCGACACCAAGTGGTTAAGGTCGCCATAGGTGGGTGTGGTCAGCTTCAGGGTGCGGAAGCAGATGTCGTATAGAGCCTCGTTGTCGATGCAGAAGGTTTCGTCGGTGTTCTCCACCAACTGATGCACCGACAGCGTCGCGTTGTACGGCTCGACGACCGTGTCGGAGACCTAAAAAAGTGGTAGATGTATGTACAGTTCGAGTTAAAGGGGCCTGGAAGCAGGAGATCACAGCCAGAAAGGGAAAGAGAGAGAGAGAGAGAGAAAGAGTGAGAGAGAGAGATGGAACGAGAGAGCGATAGCTAACGATTTGAACTTACCTTTGGTGACGGCACGACGGAGAAGGTCATCATAATCCGATCCGGATACTCCTCCCGAATCTTCGAGATCAGCAACGTCCCCATCCCCGAGCCGGTACCTCCACCCAGCGAGTGGGTCATTTGAAAGCCCTGGAACACATCAACTTCAAACAGTACAAACAAAGCACCTGTAGACAATCACAGCTCTCCGCCTCCTTCCTGACAACGTCGAGCACGTTGTCGACAAGCTCCGCTCCCTCGGTGTAGTGGCCCTTGGCCCAGTTGTTGCCGGCACCGGATTGGCCTGAAAAAACAGGTATAAAAAAGGAATGATGGTGATAGGATAGTTGATGTTTTATTGGAGGTCAATCAAAAACCTAAAACCTACCAAAAACAAAGTTGTCGGGGCGGAAGAGTTGGCCGAACGGCCCGGCCCTGACCGAATCCATGGTGCCCGGCTCGAGGTCGACGAGGCAGGCTCGAGGCACGTATTTTCCGCCTGAAATAGCAGTTTGTGGTTTGTTGTTCGATATTCTCTAGTCTTAGTTGTAGTTTTTAAATTGATAGTTTATAGTTCGCAGTCTCGTAGTTCGTAACTTGCTTCGCACTTTGTAGTTTTCAATCTAAGGTTCGCAGCGAAAAGATGGCAGTTTTCTGTCCTTTTTGGGGGCTTTCGAACAACGGGGATTTCGAACTTTAGCCTTTTTAGCATTTTTGAAAGCGCTGTTTTTAATCTATCAGGCCTTCTCATCTGTTAGCTGTCCTCGTTTATTTATTTCTCTAACAATATTTTAATTTTTAAGAACGTACCCGACGCCTCATTGTAGTAGACGTTGATGCGTTCGAGTTGCAGGTCGGAATCGCCGACGTAGGAGCCATTGGGGTCGATACCGTGCTCGTCGGAGATCACTTCCCAGAACTGAAAACCAATGAATTTAAATAGTTGTAGAAAAGATTCGAATAACTTTTTAAATGAATTAGAGTCATACCTTCGCTCCAATTTGGTTGCCGCATTGGCCGGCCTGGATGTGCACGATTTCACGCATCCTGAAAAGGATAGAAATAGGCGTAAAATGATAGTCAACTGCTAGCCAAAAAATGGAATCCCAGATACAAGCATCAGTATTAAAAAATAAAATCTTAGCAACAATATTTTGCCAGAATATTTAGTTAAAAATAGATCCCAAAATGCAACAAGTGGCTTGAAAAAAAATAGAAAAATTCCGAAAATTCCGAAAATGACTCACAGGAAAAACTCTAAAAATCTAACTAAAGTTCCATAAACTGATGTAAAATTTGGTCATTAATGTGGTAAGCTTCTAAAAACCTTGGCCTTAAATTTTACTTTACAGACATTTAAGAAAAAAAAGCAGGAAGAAATCTTAAAATTAATCCTAAAATCAAAGTCCCAGGAAAACACCTTTTAATAAAATTTTAGTTATGTGAAAAAATTATAAAGATCGAGTAGATAGAATAGTGATATCTTTCTTTATTAAATATCTACAATTTATAATCTTAAAATTCGGTATTACCAAGACCAAATCTTTTGGAAACCATCTGTTGTATGGGACTTGAGAGGGGGACTGCCGGAGGTCGGGCGGTTTCCCCATTGATCCACGCGATTTGCCTAGCAACCGACACACGCGCGCCCCACAGCTAGTGAAGCCCTTATTTTCTCAGAATGGAGGGGAAGGGGCTGTACAGGGGAGGGCCCCGGGGAAGTGGCCAATTAGGGGCCAACAGAAGGGGGCCGGGAGGAGAGAAACCTGACAGAGTCATGGGACTATATTATTAGGTGTGGAGGGGTGGAGGAGTGCAGATTGTTGAGTCAAAGAGAGAGAGAGCGAGAGAGCAAGAGAGAGAGAGAGCGGGAGAGCAGGAGAGAGAGACAGAGAGAGAGGGCGAGCGAGAGAGGAGAGTAACTTTAGAAGTGATACTCTAGAAACTGTGAATTTTTTATATTATTATGACTGTTCAAACTATGTATTTCGACACTATAAAACTTTGACATTTTGAAAGCCATTTTAGCGGCTGTAACATGCATTATTTATTCATTCATCCACTCCCTAATACCCACCATCCTCAACCGGACTGATGATATCCCCCAGTCTCAGCAAATAATCGGGGAACGACAATTCGGGGATGATATTGAAGGCATCATAATGGGGTTGGATCAAGATTGGGGGTACGGTCTTGGGGACATATGGGGCTCGGGTGCCCTTTGTCACTTCCGGTGCTGTATTCTCGTTGATATCGCGAGCGCCTCCGTATTGGTTGTTGCTGCCGATGGCCGTGCCGCCGATTTTGATCGAACGGAGATCACCGGAAACCTGAAAAATGAGTGACAATGAGGTTTAAAGGGGCTAGAAAACGCAAGAATCGTCTGTCGTAACGACTGGGTCTAAACCGCTAAAATACAAATTCGAAACTTGGATTTATGTTTTTACAGGGATCAGGATACGCCACTTGTGCCTTCTTGCTTCATCCCCGTCCTACGTGCTAGCACTCGATCTTTAATGCGGCATCTTGTGGGCAACGTGGCTATCGGCACCTAGCGGTTGAAGGGTGTCGATGAGGCCACTTCCTAGCCCCTTTAAAAACCCCCCAATGTTGTGAGAAGCGCTACGCTGGTAAACGTTAAGCTCCTAATACACGCAGCAGTATCCGACAGGCTGTCAAGTTGTATCCGCTCGTACTCACAATAACGGTATGGCTCTGCGTGGCGAGATTCGGGAATTCCTCAGGAAGAGTGTAGAGATGTCCTCGCACTCCGGCCCCCTTTCCGAATGAAACCTGGATCTGGCGCTCACCGACGATTCTGAATTAATTTTCTGATACCCCTCAGACCATTAGTACCAGTTAGTTTACTGCACCTCAAATTTTTACTCACTTCATTGTCACGTCCATGATTTTGCCCGGCCCATAGGGCTGACGGTTGTATACCGGAGAGCCGAGGATCCACTTTGGGGCTAGGGTACGGGTATTCTGAAAGTTCGGCAATATCTCTCTCTTTCTCTCTTGCTCTCTCGCTCTCTCTTTCTCTGCCTCGCTCTCTCACTCTCTCTATCTCTATCACTCTCGCTCTCTCTCGCTCTCTCTAGCACACACACTGTCTCTCTGTCGCTCTATCTCTATTACTCTCGCTCTCTCTTTCTCTCCCTCGCTCTCTCTCTCTCTTACTCTCTCTCTATCTCTCACTCGCGCTCTCGCTCTCTCTCGCACACACACTGCCTCTCTGTCGCTCTATCTCTATTACTCTCCCTCTCTCGCGCTTTCTCTCTCTCCCTTCTCCCGCTCTCTCTTGCTCTCTCTCACTCTCTCTCTCTCTTCCTCTACCTACATCAAGCGAAGAAGCGTAATAATGCAAATTCTGCTCCACCACCGAATCCAGGGCAATCACCACCCTCCATAGGTCGTTGGACACTAAGCTGATGCGCCATCTTCAAGAAAAAGGTTACAGAGATTGTGTTACGTAGGTATTACCGTTTTGCCTGAGCATGAATTTGAGCATGAACCGTCACCGTGCTGTTGATGGCTGCGACATTATTTGGGAAGTGGACGTGCTGTTCTGAAAATTGAGTCAGAAATTTTCGCTCAGACATGCTCTCTCTCTCTCTCTCTCTCTCTCCCTTTCTCTCGCTCTCTCTATGACTATCACTCTCTCACTCTCTCACCTTGAAAAGCTGTGAACGTGATCAACTCGTCGGCCGCCTGAGCCGCAGCTACAAGGAATACCAGAAATAGCATGGCTTTCTATACCTCCCCCTCTAGTCTTACAGCTTTATAGGGTTCAAAGCCTCGTCGGCTTTCCCCCTCCCTTTGATCGCCCGCCGGGTTGTTAGGCGGTACTTTTTGAGCTGTCATTTTCAGGTTTTATTGCCTGGGAAAACAAGGAACGGGGGATAAGAACATTGTTGTATGTAGTTTTTGCAGATTTGCATAGAAAAAGCGGCGTCAATTCCTGAAAAAAACACCGAGATTTGTGCTGTGTTACTTGCAAGGAGTCAAAAGGAGACTTACAGATTACAGATTACTTTACTGAAGCCCCCTGAATTTTTGCTATTTCCGCAATTTTTCGAGATTTTTCGTTGCCATTCGGTATCACGTCGAAACTATACCAAAAGTTTTATGGTATCCCAAAATAATGTCATACAAAATAGTTACACCAAAAACAAGAATGGAACGCGGTTTTCCCATAGAAGCATGGTACGGAACGTTAGGTGTCGACATTTTCAACATTTTCTAATAATTACTGAGCGCCGCTCGATAGCGCCTCAAAAAATACACTTACAAGGGAAGGTTTTTTGAGCTCGGCCGGGTATTAACACAAATGATACAACATTCGATAGAGAATTGAAAATAAATTTGAGCTTTTAATACCATTTTTGCCGAAGAGCTTCCTTTAAAAAGATATGACCCTTTTAAAGTAGGTTTTGAGACCCCCTATAGGCTGTTTTCTACAAAACTGTTCTTCTTAGTTTTTATGTGCCAATACCAAACAGTTATACCAACTTGTAGGGAATTTTTTACTGCTTCGAATGGTGTATTTCATTAATTTGGGGCAGGTTCCCTAAACCGCTTACATCGGCGTAAAAGAGCGCTTTTGGGGGGGCACTTTAACAGAGAGAAAATGAAGTTGAAGGACCAAGTACAGTTGATTTTTCCGATTTTTGAGCATGTTGGTTTAAATAGCTCATTCGATAGAGAAAATTTTTCTGAGCAAGTTGGCACGATTTGTTTTTGGAAAATCAATATAAATACCCGGACGAGTTCAAAAAAAACCTTCCTTCGTTAAAGTATTACTTTCAGCCTAAAATAATGTAAAACGAAAAAATAGTTATGGCAAAAACAAGCAAAATCGAGATAACCTGCCACCTTAATGTAATTGTATAAATTTTAACATTGATTTTTCGCAAATTCCTGGTCAGCGGATATAGCTGGGACCTAGGGCTCTCAATTGGTAACGTTAAAAAATGTCGGACCTTTCGGCTGCGTAAAAAAAACTCTTAACTGCTGAAAATGCATTTGTTATATGCTGAAACCCTTTAAGGGCTTTCGTGTTTAAATCATAAAATTTGAATAAAATGCAAATTTGCAAATCGTGAACAAAGTCCCGGTCCTTTGCATTTGAATCTGACTACAAAACAGAATCTGAAATGCGTAGCATCATTCCATCAAACCTACCCGCCTTCCGATGGTCGGCTACCGTTCTCTGCTGCTCCTCGTCGTCTTCACCGCCTTCGGCTACCGCCCGGCATCGGCTCAAGTAAAATTTTTACAAAATTATCTTATTTCATTTTGGCGTGTGTCATTCTGTAGGTTTGTGTGTGGAGGCCAGTTTTGGAATTGGAAGCCTTTCCCGGGTCCAAAACGCGCCAATTCTCCGTCACATGAGGTATTCGACCCTCCTCTTTCTGATAGCGTTCTCAAAATTTCGATAAAATACAAGTTTACAACGTCACGGCCGTTTTCATTCATTTTTGGGGGGTCCGGGGCGGCGAATTTGCATAAAGTGAGAAGGAATTTCCTCATTCAAAGTCTTTTTCTTATAGGGCCAGGTTTGCCAGTAATCAAATATAAAATGTCCGTTTTTCTAAATCCCAAAAACACCCTGTTAGAGTTCAGTTTACGCCCCGACCAGCCGGCACCCAGTCTTTGTATTTCGGCTCCCTGTGCATCTACAGGTGTGTAAGCGATACCAAAATGTTGATCTTTCTCTGGCGAGTATTTTGGTATACTTTACACACCTGTAGATAAACAGGGAGCCGAGATACGGTTGGGGGGTGCCGGCCGGGGGGAATAAAAACTGCAGGCTAAACTCCAGATAACCCCGCCCCCCCCCAGCCAGCTCGGCCCCCATGTGTCCTATTAATGCGCGGAGTATCTCAAAATGTTCGCCGTGGTCTAAACCCTAACGGAAAGTTGTTTGGTTCGCCGAAAATCGCTGGAAATTTTTTTATATAATTTTATTCGCAAAACTTTATACAAGCCCGAGCTTAAAATTTTCGACGTCGATTTTCGTCTTTTTTCGTGAATTTTTCGACCCAAATTAAATGTTTTCGAATTCCCCAAATCCAAGTGCTACATTTGGTACCCTAACCAGCCGTGTACGACAAACTAGAGCCGAGATACAAATTTCGACTTTGGACCAGGAAAAATTAACACAGGCGACCCAGACTTATAATTCTTATAAAAAAAATTATAGCGATTTTTGAGGGAACTAAACAACTTTCCGTTAGGTTTTAGACCACGGCGAACATTTTGAGATACTCCGCGCATTAATAGGACCTATGGGGGCCGAGATGGCTGGGGGGGGGTTATCTGGAGTCTTACCAAACTGCACTCTAACCGCGTTTTTATAAATAACGCATTGACGCATTGGAAAGCCCTTGAAAAAGGCGAGAAAACAATCGGGCTTAGTTTTCTTACGCGTTTCTCCAAAAAATGCGTGGGCTTAAGTGCAGTTTACCCCTCCCCCCAGCCAACCATAAATATCGAAAAATCCCCGAGCCCCAGCGAACACTCAAGAACCTACAAATCCGCCTGCTAAGAGTCCAGTACCTCCCGTTTCAGTGCCGGGCGCCGTTCCTGTGCCAAGTGATCCATGTGCTGTTTGAAAGACAATGGCTCAGCGAAAAGCCGAAATGGATTTCGGTAAGAATCTAGGAAACCCCCCCCCCAGCCGTAACTTTTCTGCCATACGTCCTATTAATGCGTGGAGTCTCTCAAAATGTTCGCCGTGGTCGAATTACTTTAGAAAAGTTGTTTCCATACATCAAAAATTGTTAGAAAATTTTTTACAATATTTTTAAAAGTGAAAATATTCAGTCGCCATGCCTCAATGTACTACGCGTTTAAAACTGAATTATTTTTTTGCGCTATTTTTTCCATACAAATGTACTGCAGCCTGATTCTACAAAGCAAGAGCTACTTTTTGATACTATTCACAGCTCTGTAGGACTAAAGATAGCCGAAATACGAACCAGGAAATAAAGGTAATAAGGAAATAGATCAGGAAAACTTAATTAAACCCAGACTTATAATTGTCATACCAATTTTTCTAACAATTTTTGATGTAAGAAAACACTTGGCCTCGGCGAACATTTTGAGATACTCCGCGCATTAATAGGACGTATGGCCGAAAAGTTGTGGCCGGGGGGGGGGGTTTCAAGACTTCAGACTGGATTTCGGTAGAAGCCTTGCCGAAAAACCTTCCAATGGTCTTTTAGTGCGGCAACCTCGCGTCATGCACGCGTTCTTGTGACGATCGAGAATTGGATGTCACCTACAATTTTGGCGAACGCGCCACCCACGATGGATACCCACGGATGTCGTGTCTCGTCAAGTTTTGTGTGGGAAACTTTCGAATCTTATTAGCGGAACTTGGAGCTAATGCTTGTAATTTTTCAAAAGGGCGAAATGTTGGTCAAAAACGGCCATTATTCGTCAAAAAAATCACTATTTTAGCATCTTTTAATAAAAATTTACAAAATTTTTTTGCGGTTATGGATTGTAAAAACAGGTAGAAACGGCAAGACTCTAGATACCTCCCAGCAGGGACGTAGCGTAATACAGGCCCCGGCCCCCGAAATCGGCCGGGGCCTGAAAATTTCATAAGGGGGTAAGGGGGGAAAATTTTCATTTTCTCAAAAATTTTGCCGCCTGCGGCCCTATTTTTTCACGGTTTTACGGCCATTTGTAGAGCTATGCAACATTTTTTTTCAAAAATTTTTGCCTGCGGCGCTGTTTTTTCGGCAATGTTTTGAGTTTTTTGGAACATTTTTTGGGCCCCCCCCCGAGATTTTTTTCTGGCTACGCCCCTGCCCCCCAGCCGACCCCCACTTACCCTATCTCGGCTCTCTGTTCATCTACAGGTGTGTCAAGTATACCAAAATACTCGCCAGAGCAAGGCAAACATTTTGGTATACTTTACACCTCTCTAGATGAACAGGGAGCCGAGATACACAAGGGGTGGCCCGGCTTGGGTGGGGGGGGGGTTCTATTATATATACCTATTCATGCTTCTTTTTTCAGATGCTCGACAATACGGAAGCAACCGATTGTGTTCGGCCGCTGTTTGTGAAGAATCCGCCACAAGATTGGCTCCGGCTACTAGCATGGAGAGGTAGAGAGAGCACTCGCGCCGGGGCGAGGCTTCCTGATTTCTTTTAAAATATCCTTGCTTCGCGGCTTTCAAAAATTGCAAACTATTTTGGGGAAGTTTCGGAATGAAGAGCCTGTACAGGGTGTCCCAAAAAAATCCTCCCCCCCTAGCCGGCCGCAGACCTGTCCGATTTTTACGATTTAGGTATCTATCGAAAGCTCTCGGAAAGGCGAGTCCAGCACGTCTCGCCAATTCTTAAAATTTAAAAATTTTTTTATCATTTACTAATGTTTTTGCGAAGCGGGCGGATTTTCGGATGTTTTTCTGACCCAGGGCTTTTTTTACAAAAATCCCAATTTAAGAATTTTTACGTCTTTCCTGGAAGCCCAACGACCGCTTTTTGAAAGGCAATTGCGAAAACACAGCTTGGATAGCGCTTAAACCGGTTAAACTGCGTTTTGGACAAAAAAGCGTGTTCTTTTGCATGAAAAATGCCGAAAATCGAGCAAAAAATTCCGACATTTCGAAAATCAAAAAGACGTGCTGGACTCGCCTTTCCGAGAGCTTTCGATAGATACCTAAATCGTAAAAATCGGATCGGTCTGCGGCCGGCTGGGGGATTTTTTTGGGACACTCTGTATTTAGCATTTTTTGAGGTTCTGGACTGTTAGCGGGGGGGGGGGCGGGGCGGTTATGGATTTTTATAGTGTATTTAGTAGCTTTTTATTGCTAAAAAGTTATCAAAAGTCACAAAACTCCGCAAAACCCACAAACACCCGCAAAACCGCAAAACACCGCAAAAAAAATCCTGCACAGGCCACGTTCCGCATGGAATTTCCAGCCCATGTAAAAAAACCTTACAGTTGTCGATGCATTTCAGAGGCAAAAGTGAAAGAGGTGGGACGCGGGTACCCGATCTACCTCCCATTGAATGTCTGCACACGAGAGATGATCGCCACTCACAAATGCCCCCTCAAACGAATCGCCAAAAGCAACAGCTACAATGCTCCCACTACGACGGATTCCGACCACGAAAGCATTCGGATGCAGTTCTCGGAGAGTGAAAGGAGGATCACTGACGACGCCCAGAGGAACAGGAAGATCAAAGAGATCGTATACCGATTCTACCCGATCTGTGAAGCTGGATTTGAAATGCCAAGGTGAGTTTGGGGTACTGAAGCATTTGCGGGGGGATCCGGAATCCTAGATTCTTTTGTACAGGGCTATTAGCGGGGGTATGGGTTCGGGGACCGAACCCTTGATTATTTGGTACTGGGCTGTTAGCGGGGGGCCCTAATTTTCTTGGTACTGGACGATTAGCGGGGGAATTGGGGACGGCAACCTAGCTCTTTGGTGCTGGACTATTGGCGGGGGGTTGGTATTTCTTGCATGGGGAAAACTAACTGTTATTTTTCCGCCTCTTCCTAGCTCTTAATTAATTTTATAATTTTTTTTATTATTTTTAGAGTTTTGGATTGCTAAAAAAATCGGAAAAATAGTCTAAACATTTTTGAAAATTCGAAAATTTTGATTTCTTCTGGTTATTTTCATACATTTTTCCCTGCCTTTTGCAGGTTGCCGGCACCCGCACCGGATGCCACGTATTGTCTATCGAGTCTGCACATCTTGGCTGGTCACAAAGCAATCCATCCATCGGCATTCGACATCGCAGATCCACGCCAAGTGAAGGTCTGTTTTTAAGGATGAACTCCAGATGCCGCCCCCCCCAGCCGACCCCCCTCTACCGTATCTCGGCTACCTGTTCATCGACAGGGGTGTAAGGTACACCAAAATGTTCGTCTTGCTGTGGCGAGTATCTATTAGGATAAGGGGGGAAAATTTTAGGGGGGGAGGGGGGGGGGGGGGGGGGGGAAATTTTTTTTCAGGTTTTTTTTTTAAAAGTTTTTCGATAAATTTTTTGGGGAAAAAAATTGGGTTGTGTATCTTCGTATGCTGTACACATCTGTAGATGAACAGGGAGCCGAGATACAAAAATTCGGGGCCGGCTCGGGGGAGGGGGGACTATCTGGAGTCTTACCGTTTTTAAAGTAACACCAGCGCACAACCCTTGCTGCGCGAGGGCTGAGCGCTGGCCCTCCCGGGAAGATTGAATCCCCTGGCGGACGGTCCTGGTCCGTGCACGTTTGAACCCTGTTGGGGTCCCGCTACCGGTGTACTGGGATCTGCGCAAAAACCCGGAATTCCAAACGCCGGCTCCGCATCAAACCAAATGACGCCTGGGGGCCCCGCAGCGGGGGATCGATTCGCCTAGATAGGCCGTTCAAGTCGGCCTAGTAATCAAGTACAACGTGTTTTTACATTGTTTTTAATAGCTCTTAACTACATATATTTAATGCACACAAAAAAGCCAGAAAAGTATTTGAAATCGTCGAAAATTTGGTCATTTTGGGTCGAAAAATCAATCATTCGACCGATGATTAAAGTTTTTAATTAAAATTTGTTGAGTTTTTATGCTTGGAAATAGCTAAAAAGAATTTAGAGACGTGATCGCTATTTACAAAAAAAACGCGATTTTTCGACTAAAGGATGCAGATTTTTGACCAAAATTTCGACTTTTTCAACACTTTTTAAAGCGTCTTGATATTTTTTTCTGGTGGGAATATAGTTATTTTTACTAACGATACTCTTATAACACTTCCTATTAAGTTACTGAACATTTCTAGACTTATGCAAAAACATCGGTTTCCCATACAATTTACATTGCAGTACTGTCCTCTGGGTGCTCGCGACACATCGAGCTGTCTCCCGCGCCCGATCTGCCGTGTCGCCGGCGAGCCGGAGCCGCTCGTGATGGGGTGGTTCGATGAGGACTTTACTGATGTGCCCCTGGACAAGCCGGAGTGCGAAATGGCCTGTTCGTACGGTGGCCACGGAGATCTCGGTCGATACCGCAACTGTACCCCACTCGATGTCATCCACAGTGATGACTTTGTGGAGAAGACGACACTCTTCACCGCCTTCCGGGCTGGGGTATGGAATTTACGGTGTTTCGGGTTCTGGCCCGTTTTTTTACTGTCCCTAAAGTTAAAAAATTTAGAAAATGTTACCAAAAAAATAAAAATATCGATTTTTACCAAAATGGCCGTTTTTTTTTTTTTTTTTTTTTTTTTTTTTTCAAAGTTTCGAGAGTTTTGAGCCGAGTTTCTAGTTAAAATAGAATTTTATTTGACGAAAAACACTATTAAAATACTTCTTAACAACTTTCTAGGCATTTCTAGATTAACACAAAAAATTTGGCTACGGTTTACTTTACCCCCCAGCCGGAAGTTTTTGGCTATAACTTTTTTATTATACACCAGGGTTGAAAAGCCGCTTCGCGACTTTTCAACCCTGGCCCCGTCCAATCCAATGGAAGTTTACGTTGCATAATCCGGCACGCCCACGCTGAAAAAAAAAAGTGAAAAATGCGTCTCTGCTACTTTATATAGGCTCTCCCCATCAACTATAATAATTTTGCTGTGGTCTCTGTCCGTCCGTCCGAAGCCGAATTCAACTCGAAGGGGAAAAGAGCTAGAGCTTAGATCTCTTCGGATTCGGATAGAGCGCCGTCAGAAACCCCAAACTGATCAAAAAATTATGAAAAGTTTTAATTTAAATTATTAAAATTAACTTTGAAAGTTTATTCCTTAGTAAAAGGGGTGGGGGACGGAGGTTGGGGTGATTTTGGACATAGTGAGCCAGGTGGCGCGCGTTTCGTGGATGAAAATTTTCACGGGGGATTTCATTTCTTTTTTCTCTCATTCCATCCGGTCGGTCGTTATTTTTGTTTTTGAAGGGGATTTCAGCCATGGGGGGTATCTGAAGCCATCAGGAAGGTATTTAGGTAGTTTTTGAAGGGATTTCAGCCATGGGGGGTATCTGAAGCCATCAGGAAGGTATTTAGGTAGTTTTTGAAGGGGATTTCAGCCATGGGGGGTATCTGAAGCCATCAGGAAGGTATTTAGGTAGTTTTTGAAGGGGATTTCAGCCATGGGGGTATCTGAAGCCATCAGGAAGGTATTTAGGTAGTTTTTGAAGGGATTTCAGCCATGGGGGTATCTGAAGCCATCAGGAAGGTATTTAGGTAGTTTTTGAAGGGGATTTCAGCCATGGGGGTATCTGGAAGCCATCAGGAAGGTATTTAGGTAGTTTTTGAAGGGGATTTCAGCCATGGGGGTATCTGAAGCCATCAGGAAGGTATTTAGGTAGTTTTTGAAGGGGATTTCAGCCATGGGGGTATCTGGAAGCCATCAGGAAGGTATTTAGGTAGTTTTTGAAGGGATTTCAGCCATGGGGGTATCTGAAGCCATCAGGAAGGTATTTAGGTAGTTTTGAAGGGGATTTCAGCCATGGGGGGTATCTGAAGCCATCAGGAAGGTATTTAGGTAGTTTTTGAAGGGGATTTCAGCCATGGGGGGTATCTGAAGCCATCAGGAAGGTATTTAGGTAGTTTTTGAAGGGGATTTCGGCTATGGGGGGTATTGTTGGAGGTGGGAAAGGATGTGGTGGAGTGAGACATGTAGGGTAGCCCGAAGGCCAGATGGTTGCAGTCGCGAAGCGACTGTAACCATCTGGTTTCCGGTATATGCGAATTGATTCCCAACAAAGAGGGCGTTGGATTTTTTCAACAAAAACTAAATTTTAATGTCGAAAATAGACGATTTTCATAAATCTGATTTGTGTGCAGTCATCTCCTGGACATTATGCACCTAATGATGTATCAAACATGACCTTAACTACTCTCCTTCTTGAGATACGACTGGAACAACCTGACGGAAGTTGCATGCAAAGTTTCATACACACTAGTGATGGTATTATTCAAATCTCAAATCTAATTTGCATCCGCCTAATCAAATCTGCCGGTTTGATTTGAATAAGGTTTCAGCGCTTCAAATCAAATCGATTTGATTTGGACTTGGAGGTTCGAGTTCAAATCTGAAGATTTGAACGAGGATTTGAAAGGAGTCGAAAAAATCAATAGCCTATTACGCGGATGCTAATTGTATGATGACATGCATAATCAAGGTCATTTCCGGTTGGCGCCAGCTCGGCCATAGCGATTTTGTTATGTTTTGCATGCCGGCATCTCCATAAGATTTGATTAAGGACCGGAAGCTTAATCAAATCCTCGATTTGAACTCGTCCACGGGATTTCAAATCAAATCCGCCGATTTGAAACTGAAATTTTTGCCTTCAAATATTCAGATTTGAGCTCTCAGATTTGACTCAAGATTTGATTTGAATAACCCCATCACTAATACACACACACAAACACTATTTTTTTATATATAGTAAGATTATTGTAGGCTCAAATAAAAACTCTTACAAGGGAAGGGCACATGCACAGGTTGGAATTTCGAAAAACCCTCGCGGCTACCCCGGGGTAATCGACTACGGAGAACACGATGCTGTCGTCCGATTTTCCTGCCGAGGCTTGTGGACAGAGATACAGCACTTCCGGAAAATCATGATTTGCATGCGAAAAATTAGAATCCGGGGAAGCTTTATTAGGCTCTCCCATCAGTATGCAATCACCAGTCGAGTGGCCGATTGGTAAGCAACTCGCTTGGTAGGATACTGACGAGGGTACGGATCCGCTGGTACACTAGGATAACGGGGGGGAATAAAATAACGGGGGGGCACTCATTATTATGAAATTTGCAATTACTTTGGGATTTTGCGAGTGCCATTCGATAGAGCGTCGAAAAATATACTAAGAGAATTAATTTCAGCCCAAAATAATGTAATCGAAATTTTTTATTGAATAAACAAAAATTGAGGAAAATCTATGGGCGGCACATAGGATTTTAACGGGGAAAGTCAAATTTTCGACATTTTCGACATTTTCGGTATTTTGAAAACGTCATTCGATAAAGCGTCGAAAACTGCCCTAGGAAAATTAATTTCAGCCCGAAATAATGTAAATGAAATTTTTTATCGAATAAACAAAAATTTATCAAAATCCATGGGCAGCACATAGGATAACGGGGGAAAGCCAAATTTTGAGATTTTCGATATTTTGAAAACGCGAATCGATAGAACATCAAAAAATATACTAAGAGATTTTTTTACAACGCGAAAAAATGTATTATGAAAGTTTTATGGCCTAAAAACTATTTTTGAAAACTATGGGCAGCACATAGGATAACAGGGGGGGAAAAAAATTTTCGGCGTTTTGAATATTTTCGATATTTTGAAAATGCCATTCGATAGAGGACCGAAAAATATACTAAGAGTTTTTTTTACAGCCCGAAAAAAGCATATTTAAAAATACTTTTATCATATAAAAAGTTTGGAGTGCCCCGTTATTTCCCCCGTTATCTTATGTGTACCGATCCGCTCGTGATTTTTTCGTTTTGCTTTTTGACAACATTTTTGCACAAGTCCAGAACCTTTCCTAAATGTGTAAAAAGACGCCTTTGTGGCCCTGTAATACGTCCAGCAATCAAAGAAAAACTTTTTCGAAAATTCTATTTTCCGACCCTCCACCCATCATCGGCTGCCAAACGATCAAAAATTCTGCGGGAAAATTTTGCAGAAGCCAAGCGTCACGCTCTCGTTTGGTTTTGTAGCACCTTATCCTGTTGCACGGCCCTGGCACTGGCAAGTTGGTTAGACAGCGCTTTTATAAAAATTTTTCAGATTTTTTGAATTTTGATAAGCCGGTGGGTGGGGTGCCCGAAAGATCGCAAAATAAAATTTTCGAAAAAGTTTTTCTTTGATTGCTAGACGTATTACAGGGCCACAAAGGCGTCTTTTTACACATTTAGGAAAGGTTCTGGACTTGTGCAAAAATGTTGTCAAAAGCAAAACGAAAAATCCGAGTGGATCCATACCCTCGTCAGTATCCTACCAAGCGAGTTGCTTACCAATCGGCCACTCGACTGGTGATTGCATACTGATGGGAGAGCCTAATAAAGCTTCCCCGGATTCTAATTTTCGCATGCAAATCATGATTTTCCGGAAGTGCTGTATCTCTGTCCACAAGCCTCGGCAGGAAAATCGGACGACAGCATCGTGTTCTCCGTAGTCGATTACCCCGGGGTAGCCGCGAGGGTTTTTCGAAATTCCAACCTGTGCATGTGCCCTTCCCTTGTTAGTATATTTTCGACGCTCTATCGAATGGCGTTGCAAAAATCCCGACAAAATAAGCGAAAATACCGACAACTTTGAGACCCTTTGGCTGTGGGGGGGGTAAAGTAAACTTTTACCAAAAATTTCCCCACCCCCTCCCCCCGCTAATGCAAAAGAATCAATTTACGCATTAACGAAACAATTCGTGCCATTCCAGTCGGGACCCTACGCGGAGTTCATGTCGCTGGAGGAGAACACGGATATGGCCCTGCTGCTGGACGCGTCGAAATGGGAGCACGCACCCAACAAGACCATCAAGTATCCGCGTT